AGGGGAGCTGGGGGTGCTGCTGAGGAGAGCAGTGGGGTGCTGCCGAGGAGAGCAGTGGGGTGAGAAGCCTGCAGCCAGAGGAGGAGGCAGGTAAGGCAGCAACAAAGGTCCATCTTCCTTGTCCTGTCTCAGGGAGATGCAGAAATCTCAGCTCCTTACAGGGGGGAGCTGCCTGGTACCCCCTCTGAGTAGCCCCCCAAGAGGGGAAGGTGAAGGAGGAGTTGTCACAGCACGACCCACTCCTGTGCTGTCACAGCTATAGGGGCAAAGCTGTGACACCATGAACGAGCTGTAACAGTCACCTTCCCACTCAGGCTCTGTTCCCAAGCCTGCAGCAGAACTGGGGTGACAGAAACTGTTCTGGTTGCTATAAAAAAAAAAAAAAGGAATAATTAAAATAAAATTCCTACCCTTCTGCAGGCAGAAAAAGCCATGAATTTGGGAGCACTAGAGCATCCACCCCGCTCCCAGGAACGGGCAGCAATATTGACACATTTCTCACTTGTGAACTATTTAATCAAGGCAAGGCAATCCCAGAACAAGCCCGTTTCTGAGCCTGCAGGAAATTACCCAGCGCTGATAGGAAAGGGAAAAAAGCAAGCTGGAGAGATGCCAGCATTCAAAGGCTGGCAGCAGGAAAGGATTAAAACACTAGATTACAGGATTCCCTCTGGGGACACATGTTAGGATGATAACTCATTCCCTGACCATCAGCCAATCTCCCTGCCCTGTGATTTTCAAGCAGGCAGATCGTTCGCTCAGCCCTGCTCTAATAAGACAGACCAGTTGGCTGCTGAGGGAGGGAGCAAAGTATTTGCCACAAGCATAGGAGGAAAAAAAAACCCCAAAAAACAAAAAACCCCCCCCAAAAAACATAAAAACCAAACCCTCCAAACCCAGATGAAAACCAGGGGAATGAGAAGTTTTAATATGAAACATACATAGGCCTGGAAGAATCTCCTTCCTTCAACTAAATGGTTGAGATTCAACCTTCCTCTGGTTGGGATTCACAATTTCACAGGGTCAAAATCAGAAGGGTTTTGTTTAACAAAGAACAAACAAGCAGGCGTGTTTACTTGGACATTCAGATGTATCACACAACAGCAGCAGAGAGGTGAAGCAGAGGATGCTGATCATGCAGGGTGGGTTTGAAGGGAAATAAAGGATAAAAAATTGTTGCAGGAACATCCAAGGAAGCAATCCACATGCTTTAAGTGGGGTGGTGTTTGTTGCCTTTTATTTCCTTGCATTTCCCCTCCTCGAGGGTACACGGGGACACCTTGGAAAGCTCTCCACATCCCCACCTACATTTCTGCTTCTTCTTATTTCTGAATCCTTCCTCCCCGTGGGCCTGAATCATCTCCCCAATCCCCTGGCAATCCTGAAGTTTGCTTGTGGGAATTGACTGAATGGTTTTTGGGGTACCTGAGGGTCAGGTATAAAACTGCAGAGGGGATGTAGTGTTTTTGGGGTACCTGAGTATAAAACTGCAGAGGGGATGTAGTGTTTTTGGGGTACCTGAGTATAAAACTGCAGAGGGGATGTAGTGTTTGCAGAGGGGTGGGGGGGTTGGATCATTCATACTCACCAGTCTGTAGGGTCTGCCTCCCCCCTGAGAGCACTCCCAGGGGCAGTGTACCTGTGGGAGTCAGGCCTTTGAGAGTCAGCACGCTCTCACTCTCCTCTCTGCAAAGAAAAAAAGAGGCAACAAAACCAGTTAGAGAGAGATGAATGCAATGGTCATTTAGGTCCAGGCAAGACTGTGAGTGGGAAGCAACATGAAAATCAGAGTCTGCCCTGTGCTGACCACAAACAGCGTGTGTCTGATCTGCTGGGCACTGAGCACAACCTGCCTCGTAAATACAGGACCTCTGCTTACTCAGCCACAACACATCACAGTTACAGCACAGCAAATGCCTCCTGAAAGGGCTAAATACTCCTCAGCAGCAGCATTTGCTGACAAGAAAGGTGGGAAGGGACTTTTCATAAGGGTAATTAATGACAGAACAAGGGGAAATGGTTCTAAACTGGAAGAGGGGAGGTTTAGATTGGATATGAGGAAGAAATTCTTTGGTGTGAGGGTGGTCAGACTTTGGCCCAGGTTGGCCAGAGAAGCTGTGGCTGCTCCTCCCTGGAAGGGTTGAAGGCCCGGCC